CCCCAAAACCCCAAAACCCCAAAACCCCAAGACGGTCTATAAGAAATCGTATTGATTAAATTAATAATTAGTTTGATTCAAATTAAAAAGTATTTCTAATATCATCACCTAACTTCTTAAACAATGTCAAGAATTTTCTTAGGTAGTCTCTGCCCCCTCCAAATTTTTTTCTATCCATTTTTGCTAATGAATATTGTGGATTTATTCTTAATATCTAAGAACCTTTTTAAAACATCAGGTGATCCGAATAACTCAAAGTTGCTCTTTCTAAATTTCATTTACTCTTCAATTAAATTATTGACCTCTAAATTTTCTTTTACTGACAATTATGGTTCCTCATTTTATTCATCTAGATAATGCAATGCAGATTAAACATCTTCTCTTCTTTGATCTAGTAAATCATGTTTCTTATAGGCTACTTTCAAGAGTTAGTTATTTTTATCATTCTTACTGCATACTTCTATGATTCTCTCAATTTTCTAAAGTTCAGCACTCGTCTATGCTCGTTAGCCTGAATTTCTAGCTACACGAATTCTTGGTGAAGTCTACTATGTATTTGAAATTCTTGATCTATTATATCTTGGAGATGATATTTAACTTTAACTAGCTTTTCCAATTCTGCTGCTAGATTTTTCTAATTTTGTTTGGCTCTTATCATTTCCAAATAGAGTTATTTCAGAAGGAACAAACTAAGGGGCTATCATAAATTTGACTTTCCCTAAATCCTAAATCTTCTAGGTAATAGACATATCACTAATATTTCGAGATGAAAACCCATTAAGTTCATTTATCCTTTAAGTTATTTGCTATTACGAGGAATCCTCTCTGAAAGATTTGTCAAAGCTATCAAATGTTAATTGTTTTCTAGATATTTTCTCTTCCTAGGCTAATTCCTGTTAAATTCTTTTAAGCCTTCCGAGTCTTCCAGTTCTATTTCTTAGATCACCTCTTGTTGTCATATCTATATTTGCATACCTCTTTTGCTCCAAATATTCTTCTATTCTTTTTCTTTGGTTAATAAAATTCTTTTCACTTAATCTTCCTTAAAAGACTCTTTAAGAATTTTCTATTGCTTTTTGTATTCTTAGTTTCTGGTTTAAAGCATCTTGATGATTTGAAGGTCTTTATTCATCTTGGTTATGGAGTATAAGATTCTAAAATTTAGCAAAGAGAGATAATGAATCAAATTCATTAATAGTACCAACTCTTTTATTCGTTTTAGGCTTTTCTTTATAGATGATAGGCTCTTAAAATACCTAAACCATTTCATACTTAAATTTTTGTCTATTCTTTTTTTATTTATCATCATGCTGTTTTTGCTCAGTATCACTCCAAGGCTCATATTAAACTTTTGGCTCTTCTTCAATAACTAAATCTGCAGTGATTGCTTTTTTAATTACTTAACTTTTATGATTACCCAGACATCTTCTAGATTTTTAAAAATTTCTAATGTGCTGCATACTTTTAAGTTAAGAAAAATTCTCTGCCGCTCTCATCTTCTTCTCCAAAGATAATTACTAAGCTTCTTAGCTAGTCATAGACTATAAAGGATTTGATTGAGGGGACAAAGGTTTCATAATTGTAAATGTTAATTCAAATTGATTTTGTGGCCAGTTTTGTGGTTCTATCTTATTAAATTCTAATTGTGTTTAGTTATGTATCGATGCACCTTATGCACTTATAGACTAATTGATTAAATTTTGCGTTTAAATTTTTAGTTGTTTTCCTTAACTGTTTTTCTGTAATTTACTTCTATTGTGTAATTAGGACTGTTGTGTAAACCCTATCACTGAATTATTATTCTCTTAAAAATCCATATTACTTCTAAGAATTCTCTCTTGGGATGGTAATCTTGAATTAGTTGTAGTTTGTGCTCCGAAATTTCTCTAGATTGATCTTATGGAGGTACCAATTAATTTACTATCAGGAGTTAATAACTACTGCATTATTAATTTTAGAATTTATAATTATAGTTTCATCCAATTTATTACTTCTGAACTTCATGGGGTTTTGGGGTTTTGGGGTTTTGGGG